AAACTGCATTTCATTTGTGGTCAAACATGACTTGTCGTGTTTCAGACACCAACTTATATGGATGGTTGACCTTATAAAGCTAAGCACAGGTGGCGCAAGGGGTTAAAATTCGCCTTCAGACTTTCGGGTTGGGTTACTACTTCCAATCGATTTTTACTCCTAAGCTTGAAAAAGTGCGTCATCCAATATTATTATAGTATAGACGCAATCCACAAAAAGAAAAAGGTGAATATGGCAGAACTCATTGATAGCCGTTTCAATTGTGATTCCTGGACTTTTTTGTTTAAAAAAATATTCGATGATGGTAAGTTAGCATTATTTAGACGAAATGAAATGAAACAGACAACTGAAGGCCATAAGTGAAAATAAATCTTTGTAAAACTGAGAACATAACAAATTCTTCACTGTTTGAAAATAAAAGGTGCAATAAGTTTGTGAAAATGCATTCAATCATAATTTGTAAACTTATTTCTAAGAAATTCATAAGAACTATCTAAAAAAGCATTCACAGATTTATATTTATTTAAGAATATACATTATATGAAAAAAAAAACTATAAATGGTTCCTTATATTTCTATAAACTTAATAATAACTTAGCATGATTCAGTTAATTTTAAAAAAAATTAAGATTAAGAAATTTGCCAAATGTTTCTTTAAAAAAGCCACAAAAGTAAAAGAATAATTAAAAGAAATAAAATAAAATGCAATTTGCAATAATTACACAATAATAAAACATAATCAATATGATTAAAATTATACATTCACTATGTCACAATATTGATCAAATTGATGAGGTCAATGCAGTTAATGCAATGAAATCTAATTGTAACAAAAATTGAAAACATTATTTAAGTAATTGCAAACCCTGAACATTTATGTTATCAGACTATAAATACTTTAAAAACAAAAAGTATTTTAAAACTTTTCTGAATTTCTTTTACATTTTTAGCAAATCTGTTTTTTTTCTCCCCATTTTAAATAATAATTTTTGTAATCTAACAAGTCAATCATCAACCTATGTTTTTAAAATAAAGTTTGCAAAATAATACTAATAAACTTTTTTTATTCCATTCCTTAACATGAATTTTTTCGTATATATTCAAGATAATGAAGTTGAAAAATATTAAATTTTTTTCTTCTAAAATTTAAAATATTTAAAATTTTGGAGAAAGTAGTACAATAAAATCCTAGTGTAAATGCGATTTAAATAAAATAGTTAAAATTCAGACAGCATATAATCTCTATATTAATTATCAAAAATAATTTGTAACTCGAAGCATAAGTTTATAAATATTGCCATTTTATATTTTATTTTGTCTTATAAGAAAGGAAGTGTCGGACAGTAGGATTTTTGCCATTAGACTGATTTTGGTTTTCCCCAATACTTATCTGGATTAAAAAATTATATCTTAGACTTATTTTGTCTATTTTGAACTTATTAAGTTATTAATTATCAAAAAAATTAAGTTTTTGAAGGTGACACCAAATTGTATTAATCTTTCTAAGCAATGCCTGGCTGTAAAAGTTTGCTTCAATGTAAAACTTTTTATCTAAAATAAAAGTTCTTTGTTGAGTTGTACATTTTAAAATATTTGCTTAGTTCAGTACTTAACAAGCGTTTTTATAGTATTAATTTACTTGTTAAATTAGAACAAGAATCTTTTAAAGTGTTTTACCTAACCATTTGGTGACATTCCTGAAATTCTTCAAAAATATTTTTTGCCCAAACTCATTTTTTTAATATTTTACATCTTCTCAAACGATTCAAAATTGAATTTAAAAAAATTGAACTGTATAGAAAAATATTTACTTGATTTGCTAATGACAATTTAGATATCTTCCTTGTTAGAGGATTAATTATAACAATATTTCTCAATCAATTTTTCAAATTATGATATTTAATGTTCTTAATACAAAATAATTCACTAAAATCTATTTTTTTTATAGTTTTAAAAAATTGCGTATTTTTTTAAAATTTAACACTTAACTTAATGTCATGTACAATATTTGCAAATTTGGGAAGCAAGGTTTCTATGAGTGTCCAAAATATGTCACACTGCTAACCATACTTTTAAATTTAGTCCTTGATTCGAACTCAATAGTAAAAACTGGGACACATTTTCATTCAATTATTTAAGATAACTTTATAAATAAGGATTTTAATGATCATTCGATATTGTTTTACTTAAAAAATAAGAAAAATATAAGATCGTGAAATAAGAGAGAATACAAGCCATAACCCTAGGAAGTAGAGCTCAAAATGTAACAGTAAGGAAACCAGCTTTAGAAAAATTGAAAATATTAAAAAAAACTTACTTCGCAAATCTGCAATAATAATATAAACTTAAATTAAAGAGGAGTTTCTTAAAAAATAAATAAATTCACTAAATGTTTCATTAAGAAAAACTACTTATTCAAATTTATACTTAAATTCCAGTTCATAAGATTATGGTTAAAATATCTTTATCTTTTGCAAAATTCTTTCAGTAAGACTCTTAAAGATAAATTTATAAATCGTATATTATTTGATTAAAAAATAACAAATATCATGCTTTATTAAAACATTATAACATATTATAAATAGTACTATTTAATAAAATGTATAAATAAATAGAATAATGATTGTGTAACAAATTAACTCAAAGTTACTGATTAGTCACAAGTTCAAATAAAGCAAATAATAAAGAATTTTAGTGTGCAAAGCAATAGTTAGTTGAAAGCAGTGAGTAATGCATGAATGTGTAAAATTAAAGTTAGTAAAGTGTAAGAAATAAGGAGAAACGCAGTATGTATTCAGTGAAAGAGTTTTTAACCTTATAGGGATACAACTACAGTACAGAACCCGTTATCCGGAAATCAGAAAACCGGAAAACCAAAAACCGGAACGAAATTCGATAAATTTTCCCGCCATTTAAAAAAAAAAAAAATTTCTCATATGATTTTAGGATTTTTCTTTCTTTTTTGAAAGATGTTTACTTTACCATCATTTTGGAAATAATCATTAGTGTATTACTCCATCGTTTTTTCTTCTTTTTAAGATTATTTCCAAAAAAAATTTTTTTTAGTTGGGTTTAACAATAAAAAAAACGGCTTTTTGTAGCGATTCAGAAAACCGGAAAAATCAGTTATCCGGAATAGCGATGGTCCCGATCGTTCCGGATAATCGGATCCCTACTGTATATAACTATTTTGAAAAATCATATAGTTTTGAATCCCCTAAACTGTTTCTCTTTAGTGATATGTCTTATTTTTATTTATTTTCCTACAAACTTCATATTTGAGACAGTTTTTTATGCTTAAGTGTATTCCAATTTTCAGTTCTATAAGTAAAAGTAATTATTCTATAATGCTAAATTTTTCATAAAGTGTGGTACTCAATATATGCCTACACATTTGAAATTTATTATAAATGAATTTGGCTATTTAGAAGGTCTATTGTCTGGGATTTAATAATTTATTTAAAAAAAAATAGATTAAAATTTAAATAACAGATACTCATTATAAATTTCATAATTCACATAGCTGGTATTTATTTTGAAATTCATACATTTTAGGTATATTAAATAAACTAGACACAAAACTTTTCCAAAAATTGAATTTTTCTTTTTGCACTTTCTGATAGCACTGATACTTTTCAACCTTGTTTCATCAATAACAGAAAAACTGTGCAGATTTCAGAGAGCTCTTTACTATGTAATGTAATAACGTTTGGATTTTTTCAATTTTAAATATTTTTTTAATCTTTGAAAGTTTATTTTTCTAAAATAACTAATAAAGCTTAAAAGGTTTTAAAAACTAAAACACATAAAACAAAAAAAAACATACACGTACTTGATTGTTATTAATTGCATAAAAACATGATAGAATATTTTTTGTTCTATGAATGATACAAGGTTGAAACAAATGGTTCAAAAAATAAAACAATGATTTATGTGCTACACTGTTAGAATTGTTTTCTAAAATAGCGGTTAAATAACCGGCAATAGTTTGACCATTCGACGAACCGTAAAATTTAAGGAAAAGAGCATTTTTTACTTTTACGGTTTTGAACAGTTTACAACTAGAATTGTTAAAAAAGTACCATAAATACAAAACTATACGCTTTTTAACCATTTACAACTAGCATGTTTTACAAAACTATGAAAAAAAAGTTAATTAGGCATTGAAGCTAGGTTTTTCGTTAGGTGATTGGCATTGAAATAAGGTGGTGGTTGAGTTGTGTTTTATCAAATGAAGGTGGTTTAAGTAGTTTATCTGGTTGTTTCACCTATAGTAAGAGATGGGAAATATTAATTTTTTTTTTGTTCAGCTTGAAGTCCAGGGGCACAAATTGAGGAGTGTAGGACACTGGTAACTCTTCATGTGTTTAAGGGAATTGAGGAAATATTATAGTGTTAACGCTGGGACTCGAACCCAGGTTCTGTCAGTGATGAAATTTTTAGATTAGCTCTCTTGGCTATAATATGTACCTAGCTGCAAGAAACTAAGTAGTTTAATAAGGGGGCCTAGTTGGTGCAATAAAATTCTGATTATTTAACCGTATTAATGCAAATAAAAGCAGTTAATTAATGGTTTTTTTTACAGTTCACTGTTTGAATATCATTTTATTCATGGTTATTTGACTGTTTTGTTTGAATATCGCAAAATAATTAAATAAATTGTTATTTAACAATTTTTCCGAGAAATTTCTAACAGTGCAGTACATAATACATAATTTTGCTTAGATAGTTGCAATTTTTAAAAAATTTTTACTTTGGAGAATTCCAATAAGTTTACAGAAAATGCAATACGGAAAAATACGATTTATTGAAAAGTTCACGATGTTTTACCAAATATCTGACAAGAAGCTGTGCTTACCAATTCTATCTTCGCTGTTAAAAGCATAACATCTTAATCCACCATTGTTTGATAAACATTGAAATTAATCATGTGTAATAATGCTATTTAGGTTTTGAAGAATTAAAGAATTTAAATAAATAATTTAGAATAAATTACTTACAATTTTTGGCTTAAAAGGGGGTTGAACTTCTTTGTTCTCTATTTTCTCCCAAATGATTCTTCTAAAGAACGGATGTATTCGAATGTCTTCTTCACCTTTTAGGCCACTGCCAAGGCGCTTCTCCGGATTTTTCGTCAGGAGCTATGAAAATATGTAGTAAAAAAATATTTAAAATGATATGAAACAAAACATACACAATATCTGAAAAAAAATTCTTTTAATTCAAAGAGTACGTCTTTTTTTTTAAAAATGTAAATCTACTCAATTCTTTAACAAACATATAATAAATGTTGTCATCTAAATTGAAACATAAAAAACAGAGTGTTCCGTTAACATCACCTTTGCAATATATTTTAAAAATCGTTGTCAAAAATGAAGACAAAAAAATTCACCGTTAGAGATTGCTAATTAAGACGAGGGAAAAATAAAATAAATATCAAAATCTGCCAAATCACTAAAGAGGGAAGCACGATAAAAAGAAAAACACATAAAAAATCTGGTTGGTTGTCTGATGAAACGTCTTTAGTATTTTTAATAACCTCAACTCAACTTCTCTCTGTTTCTCTTGGCAAGCAAACAAATTTTCAAGCCTTCAGTCTCAACTTTTTGATTCTTTAGATTTCGATAGCGCTTTTGACACTTCCACGCGCAAATATCAATTCGCAGCTTCGTTTCTAAGTATCAAGGGTGATTGTATTCCGTGTTTTTCGTATCATTCTTCCGGATCTAAAGAAACTAAAAACTGGGCCTGTGATTTTCTCGCGAATATTCATAGAATCTAGCGTATCTCAAGTCCACAGACAATCGCGAATTAAAAACTTAATAAGACGAAATTTTAAACATTCTGCTAAATCCTATTAACGAGACATTTTTATACATTGATTCTGCCGCCAATTTGATTCTTTTAGTGTGGTGAATTTTTTGGTTGAGTTGGAATCTGCTAATATCGCGATTCTTATTCTATCTAATATCTAACATCGTTTAATATCTAATATCGATTTTCGTATTTGCCTGATTTAAAAGCAACGCGTTGTGATTCATATTCATGTGATTTTAAAGTCCAATATTGCGATTTGTATTTACGTGTTTTTATTATCTAATGTCACGATTCGGATTCACACTAGTTTTAAATCCGATATCGTGATTCGTATTCACGTGATTCGTATTATAAAAACTACCCATTGGGATTCGTATTCACGCGATCTAAAAAATTATGCATTGTGATTCGTATTTATGCAATTTAAAATTACAATACCGCAATTTCTATTTCGGTGTTTTTAAAATCCCACATCGCGATTCTTGAAAGAGGTTAGTTTATCTTGCATTAGTTACTACAAAGGTGTGAAATTCTTCATTAGTGCGTAATTTAACTATAAATGCTAGTCAGTAAAATTATCTTAAATATGAAACATGCTTGGTATATAAATTGATATCTTGATATCAATTTTTTTAACATAAAATATTTAGGGGTTTTCCCTTTGCTTCACAATCACCCCTGAAGTATATTTTTTTTGTCATTATATTGACAATGATTCTAAAAATATTAAGAGCAGTCCTTATAACGCACCTGATTTTATTGCTCCGCTATTCTGTGTATTTCCAGCAAAGTTTAAAATAGTGAATAAAAGAAATTCCAAGAAACTATCATTCCCTTTTGGTAAATATAGTGATAGCTATCTCGGAAATTATCTTTTTACTTACTTAATTCAAACAGCGCATATGTTGCTAACTTTACCGTTATACTTAGACATTTCTCTCAATTAAAAATCTGTTGCTGCTTCTCTATTGTTTGAGGGTATTCAATTTAACTATCATTCTTTTTTTGGTTAATATAGAGATAGTTATCTCGGAAACTTTCTTTTTATTTACTTAATTCAAACACAGCATATATTGCTATCTCTGCCGTTACACGTAGACTTTTCTCTCAAACAAAAATCTGTTACTGTTTCTCTGTTGTCTGTGGGTATTTAATATAATATTTTGCTGCTCAAAAATTACTTTAAAATTGTCAAAATGAACAGAAAAATGTCCGGGGAGAACGTAAAAGGAAACATTATTGACATTTATAATGTGTGTTGAGGATTATTAGTTGTTAAATTTGTAGTAAAAATAGCATGTAAGAAGCTTCGCAGTTCTGAAAATTGCTTGTCGACAGTTGAAATTTCTCATTTTGAAACTGCAAAGTTTCATTAATGCATGATGTTCAATTTTAGAAGCAAATATACGGAATGTCAGAAGTTAAAAAAAAGGAATTTTTATATTATTGCGAATTTTTACCGCAATTCTTATTAAGTAAATTAATTCATTACGTTTATATACACAAAAATGCTTTGAAAGTTTATAATATTCTTAGCACTTAATAGCGCATTACAATAAAATTCTTTTATAAAGAAAAAATACAATTTGAATAAAAATTATATGATTTGAATAGTAAAAAAACGTAATTTCTATTTTTTTTAGAAAAAAATATTATTTTATAATGATTTGTCATTGTTTCAAAATAGCCTTTCAACAACGAAATTTTAAACATGAAACCCTTTTAATTAGTTAATGAACTCCTTTTAACAAAACTCTTTTTAAAAATTTAATGAAGATTATTAATTGAATTATATAGGAAATATAAAGTAAGTAATAACACAAAATAATTACATTTGGCGTCTGCAAATAAAGGCTTTTGCGACGAAAGAAATGTTATAATAACTTTACGCATCCTTAACGACGAAGACGGGATTAAAAATGTCAAACTTGTTTGATTGCTGAAAGAAACTAGAGCACCTTCCAACGACATAATGAAATAAAATTTCACTGATTGTAATCTCACCCTTTGCCAATAGCAGTTCAACAAATGATATTACTATTTTTGTCTTTCTTCTATTTTAATTTGCACCCACCAATTAGAAATCATTTTCTGACAAGGAATCTAAAAGTGTCTATATTAAGGCCGGTGATAAGAGAACACCCTGTCTGAAATCATGTCAGCTGTTTCATACTTACACCTTTCAACGCTTCCTTAGCTTCCTTTGAGAGGGACTTGGGATAAGAAACATTATGATCAGTAATGGATGAGAATAACTCCTCTTCATCTTCTCCATCAAATGGTGGCTGAATACAGTGGAAATAAAAGAAAAAAGAGAATTACTGAGACTGAGAAACATTTCAAATAAAAGCAATTTTAAATTTATATTGGAATCTAAAATGTTAAAAAAATGTTATAATTGAATCGAAATGTAGAAATGAATTGTAATAGCAGGTCATTTTGGTTATAGTTTCTTCAATATCTTAGAATCAAAAATTTAATTTTTCACTCATGCAATTTAATGCACCACAGGCACATTATATATATAATTTATAGAGTCCTCAGTGATGAATAGCTATTATATACATATATGTGTTTGAAGAAAAATATTTCCAAAATATAGTAAGAATAGTAGGCATCATAATTATTATTAATGACCCAAATAATTATTTAAACAATTAAAAAATAACTTATCGAAATTGAACGAATTATTAACGAGAAAGGCAACAAAATTTTAAACATCAAAACCTGTTTGATTGCCAGAGGAAACTAAGAGGATGTAAAACGTGATTATTTAAAAACATTTTTAAGCTTTTTTGGCGGCAATCGAACTGGTTTTAATGTTTTTAACGCCGTTCAACTTAACAGTGACTCGTTTAATTTTAATCCAGATTTTTTCCCTCTTTATTATTAATTAGAAATCATTAAAAGTATACTTTTGACAAACATTCCTAAAATAAGAAAATTATAGTGATTATGGCATTTGTGACTAAAAAGGAAAAGGAAAAAATATTATAGGAAAATTTTCAAATTTAAACTTGTAGAAATTAACGAGCATGCCTTAATATGTTTATAATTTACAATTACATTAGCTAATAAAATTTATTTTGGGGATGGGAGGTGTTTAACTTCATTATTATTTATTATTATTAATATTATTTTTTGAGAAACATTAAGAGGACTACTTCAGAAAATAAATATTAAAAAAAATTACAAACACAAAAAAAATTCAATAACCTCTGAAGGTGATATAGTATTCTAATGAAATCATACTTTTATACATCATTATTTTTGAATAAAAAAAACTTATCTGAAAAAGAAGAATGTAAAATTCCTTTCTTATTCTTTTGAAAAAAAAATTTAGATAAAGTAAGTTAAGTAAGTTTAAGTAAGTAAAATCAAGTTTGTAAAATTTGAAAAGGGTAAGATTTTGACCTTTTTTATAATTAAATTGGTTCTGGATCCATAACATTATAAATAATTTCATTTGCAATAATTACAAAGTAGTATTTTTCTCCATTACTAGGAAAAGTACGTATTCAAGAAAAGAAAATTTTCTAAACAAGCTGCATACATAAAATAAAGTCAGATATGATTTATGCAGGGGTGTTTCGAAAACACCATTCTTAAAGTTTTTCTAGAATCCTTGGTATAAGTGAAAAAAAAACATTAGTTGTTTAAAATAATATAAGTTGAGAAAAACAACAAGCTTTATCTAAGTTATACGAATTACTATTGTAGGAATTGTTATTAAAAACATCAAAACTAGTTTAATTACCAAAGAAAACTCAAAGGTATTTCTAATATTCTTTTTCTATGTCCTGTCAGATTCTTTTGAAATTAAACGCGGTTTGATGTTTTTAATCCCGCTTTGTTGATATGATTCGACAAGGTTTGATAACTTTTTTCCTTTTCGTTCAAATATTAAATTCGACTTTAAAGGTTTATATTTCTTAACCTTTTTTGTCACAAAAATTCTAAAAATACATATTAAAAGCAGTAATTACGAAACACCCTGCATCGCATTGCATTATAACATAGCATTTTCTCATAAGGAGTCCGTATATTTTTATTTACTCTTCTTAAGATTTTTGACATTCAAACAATGAACTCAATTGCAAGAATAAGTTTTTAATAAAAAAATTATTCCAATATAAAATTTGAAAAATGCAATGAAATAATTCCAAGTACCTGTCCAACTAACATTTCATATAATAACACTCCAAACGCCCACCAATCTACAGATTTTCCATAAGGTTGATATAAGATAATCTGTAAAGATATGTAAATGAATTATAGTTTTGTGAACACGAAATGAAGAAAATAGATTAATTTTTCAATATTTTTTAAACAAATAAAACTGACAGATTTTTTTAAAAGTTCGAAAGTATGAATAAAAATGGTAAGGGTCAGTTATTTTATTTCAGAGAAAATAATTACATTAAAGAAAAATTATATATGTCACTTTAAATCACCATCATGAAATGTGATAAGATGTAAAAGAAAATTTACAATAAAAGATTACATTTTAATGTAAAGCATCATCAAAATAAGTCTAAATTAAAATATAATTAGAATTGAAATAATCGTTTAAAAAATAAAATGATAGGAAAATTTAATAAAATATATTTATTTAAATTGATACAATGCTTAATAAATTAGAAATGGAACACATATGCTTAAAAAAACATTTTTATGTAGAAGATATTTTTCATTTACTTCAACTCTCAAAAATACTATAATATTTAGCAATTATGAAGGCAAAAAATCCATTAACTTGCAACTGAATCTACAAATGTATAATGAAAACTATACTAATATAATTCTTATCAATCGAAATAGCTGAGAGTAGAAATGCTAATTCACCTTTTGTCTTAGCAAATAAAACGTACTTAATGTTAAAATACAAATCTCTAGTTCCAGTTGATATAAATTGGCGAAAATATAAATCGAAATTTAATTTAAACAATCGAAACTCAATTCCCATGATATGGATACATTTTCGATTCTAATTATCATATTTTCATTTAATCACTAGATGTAGAATATAGGAAAATGCCATTGACAACAAGAGACAAGATATTCATTTAAGTAAGTACTATGTTAGGAGTATTATGTATCATGTTTTTAAAATATAAATTTGCTTAATCTCTATTATAAAAGTTGATATTTTGAGGAATAGATGGAAGCACAATATTTTTAACTCATTGTTAATGTGAACCTATTTGAAATGCTTCCGAGATATAACAAAAAACAAAATAGATAGTTTTAATATAACTTGGTATGGTTATAAAGAAGCAGACCATCATAGAAAAATTATCGTCCGCTAAAAGTAGTACTTGAGCTGGCTGACATGGTTCTCCAATACTTTTAATAAATTATGGGTAAATATTCAGCAAAATATTATTTCAGTTTTATTCAATAATTTACAGGTTATTATAAGATTAACCTTATTTAAAGTACAAAAACTGAATATGTATTAGCGATATAATAAGAACTAGGTAAACTAGAATATTGAAACACTTGAAATTTCTTGGAAAAAATGGTTAAATAACAATTTATTTTATTGATATTTTACCACATTCAAGATAAGATGCTATTCCAATTATAGACGAAATATTAATCTATCAATCTCACTCCCGACACGGGGATCGAGTCCTAGCGTTGATACCACAATTCCTTCATTCCAATGTACTGCACTCAACAATTGGTGACCCTGGGCTATCAAAATACGATACTCTCATTCACGCATCGATCACAGCACCATGAAGTTGCTTCACGATCTCAAACGTCCAGTTAAATTTCTTTTTTACGGTTTTGAAACCACTCCAGTTGTAAATGGTTAAAAACATATAGCTTTGTATTAATGGTTTTTTAACCGTACTAGCTGTAAACGGTTCCAAAACCGCAAAAGAAAAATATGCCCTTTATCGCAAAACTTTACTGTTAATTTGATGGACAGACCTCTCTCAGTTATTTTACCGTAATTTTAGAATGAAAATTCTGACAGTTCATAGACATTATTACACTTTTAATCCAAATAAATTACAAAATTTAAAATAAAAGTAAACAATATGAATTCTAGCTGTAATAGATTAATACAAAATGAATTAAAACAAAAAATATCATAATTTTTAGTTAAAAGATTGATTCAGATAATCAGAACTACACAAAGGTGACATTATTACCTCAGGAGCTATGTAATCTGGCGTTCCACAAAAGGTTTTAGCGAGCTTATTTCCAAATACTCCTTCTTTACACATTCCGAAATCTGCAATTTTGATATGACCATCTTGATCTAATAGAACATTGTCTAACTTTAAATCTCTAAATGAAAGAGAAAAATAAAGATATCGTCACTTTGTTTAACATAAAGTGCAATTCATTTACTCACATAACGTATACAAAATAAGTGAAAATACATCCTCTTATTAAGAAACCAAAGCATTTTAATGAACTTTATACACATTTTCAATTTGTTTTGTTGAAATAGAAGATTAATAAATAGGAAAAATAAGATTCACTAACAGAATGAAATTAAAAATACTTTATTCATAAACTTATATATAATTGCCATTAATTTATAATTATATATAATTATTACATATGCAATAATTGCTTAGTATAGTATATTTTTGTTATGAAAATAATTTTATCACACAAAATAAATAAAGCAAATATTTAAAAACATTACGATAGTCATTTGCAGGAAGACTTAATGAAATATTTAGAATAAATGTTACTTTATAATTTTAATATTAAATAGAAAATAAATTTTAAAAAAATGGAATAATAAATAGAAAAATTATTAATAAATATAAAATTACAAATGTTATATACAATAATAAGTAGAAAAATAATTAGAATAAAGTAACATTTAAGTGTTACTTTTTGTTCGAATATTTGCTATGTCAAATAACATCTATAATCAGATAACAAAATTTTATAACTCTTGATAACTATGAAAACTATTAGTTAAATTTTTCAAATATCTATTTATTTTTTCCATGATGAAAACGCTCAAACTTTAGCTTCGCTTACAATAGAATTTGCAAAAAGACAAATTAATTTAAGAATGAATGTTAAAACAGAAAACAACAAACATCTATGGTCGTAAATATTTTAATACAAATTCCATTCAAAATAAATTCTTTCAAATATCTTAAGAATAGACATTTTCACAAAACCATTCTGTCACAAAATGTCCTAAAATATTAACATAAAATTAATACAGAAATGCCAATCATTGACATTTTTATGCACTAATTTTCTCTATAGCACTTCTATGTAAATACTGAAATGATACACCAATTCCTCATGGTGCTTTAGCTTTAAAAAATTAGATAAAGATTAGATTCTGCAAAAGAAGTATTGTTGCAAAAGAAAAGATCTACTTTGGTTGGACTATACAATACAACTCATTTCATTTTGAAAATAATTTATATTTGTGACATAATCTAACAACAAAATATTAAATGGTGAAAAAACAATTAATGGTATACAATACTGACCTATAAATAATACCTCTGTTATGTAGAAAAAACAAACCTATAGCTATTTCTGCCGCATAAAACCTAAAATAAAGAAATATTCGAATCAGATTTTATAAATCAAGTCATAAAACGGTTCTTATTATAGAATCAATATCTATTGGTAGTTTAATAGAAGCATTATTACTTATTACTTTAAATTGGTTTAACTCATAAACTAATAATACTAAAAATAAATAATAGTGATTACACTAAAAAAATAATAAATAAAAAAGGGATTTTTTTAAATTCTCTGCATTCTTTTCTAAAATATCTTTCTCTAAAATATCTTTCTTATTATCTTGAGCAATAATTGATAGAAAAGACAAAATTGCACAAAAATAAGCGTAATTATTACAATCACAATATAGTTATATTTTTGTTTCTAAAATACGCAGTTTTTTGTGACTATGACTTTAATAAAAGCAATAAACAAAGAAGTTAAACAATTTGCAGTGTGTATTGACAGGAAAGGAACAAATTATTAGCAAAATATAGTGACTTTTTATGTGTAAAATACGCGGTTCTTTGTGACAATGACTTAAATAAAAGTAACAAACAGAGTAATTATACAATTTGCAGTGTGTATTAAAAGGAATGAAACACATCATTATCAAAATATAGTGATTTTTTTTATCTTTAAAATACGCAGTTCTTTGTGACAATGACTTTAATAAAAGTAATAAACAGAGTAATTATACAATTTGCAGCGTGTATTGAAAGGAATGAAACAAATTATTATCAAAATATAGTGACTTTTTTTATCTTTAAAATACCCAGTTCTTTGTGACAATGACTTAAATAAAAGTAATAAACAGAGTAATTATGCAATTTGCAGCGTGTATTGAAAGGAATGAAACACATCATTATCAAAATATAGTGACTTTTTTTATCTTTAAAATACGCAGTTCTTTGTGACAATGACCTGAATAAAAGCAATAAACGAAGAAATTATGCAATTTGCAATGTGCATTGACAAGAATGAAAGAAAAAACACATAGAGCATTCTATAAAAACTGCCCTCAATTCATATTTTTAATTCCTTTTCTAATTAATATTTAATTCCAATTAATATTTTAATTAATTGGTCACAAATTAATATTTTTAAGCTAATAAAAAGAAAAGCGTATTTTAATTCTGACGAATAACTAATGATGAAGACAAAGTTTAAAAAAAGGTCAAAACCTGTTTGATTTTTATGTGAAACATGAAAATTTTGACAACCACCTTTCATTTCCTCCCTATTTCCTCGGGTAAACAAAATAAGTCTTGATGTTTTCTGTGCCGCCATCCTCAGTTATGATTCGGTAGATTTCGATAACGTTTTTATTGCTTTCCCGCTAAAAACATAATCTCGCTTTTTTTAATTGTTATATGTCCGATTTAGATAGCGTTTTCTTCCAGCAAAATTATTAATTTGAAACTCCCAATGTATATGCCTTTTCGAATTGATTTTTCCAAGGATTCAAAAAATATACATAAAGATATACATAAAGGACGTTCTTTGAGTAACACCCTGTATACATAAAAATTTAGTCTATTATATTAAGAAAATTATGCAAAATGTTGTTTAATATGCATGATAGGATACATTAATATTCCTCATAATATATCTTTTCAGAAATAAACCTGAATAGCTCCAAATATACACCATGCCGTTGTTCTTTGTTGTCCAAACATATAAAACTTTAAAAAGCCAGGGAAATAAGTAATCCTAAAATTTTTTAAGTACTATTGACGAAGGTATAAACTGTGCTATCATCAATTTTGCATCTGCATTTTTTGTGTGATTATTTTTATTTCTTGCAGATAATTAAAATCTCTGAATATTTAATGAGTTATTTCATGAGTACAGTGCGTAAATAATATTATCAAGATTTTTCACTAAAAACAAAAACTTACATTTTAGTTATAAATATATTAAATACAATAAAAAGAGAAACAAAACTTAAACCGTAATTTTTTTACATATTTGTGTAATAAAATCGTATTTCTCCTTATCTATTAAGCTTTAAACTTTACTTCTAATTTCAGTTACAAACATTTGTGCAATTATATGATTTAATATTATCGTTATTTTGTTCTTAATAAGGATTGAGAATTTAATATTAAGGGTGGTAATTGTCAAGAAAACACCTAACATTTTATATATAGATTTCCCTTATATACTCGATTCTGAAATTAAAATGATATTTTTTTTAATTGTGCTGTTGTAAAAAATTTATATTTTGGAGTAAAGTTTACCATCAATTAATTCATCTTAAACCATACAAATCTAAGATCAATTTTAAATGTGATACACTTATAAAATAATTGATTAACGAATAAAAACCGTAACTATTACTTATTGTGCCACTTCATGAACTTTTATTCTTTGCATCATTATACACAGCTAACTGCCGGAACAATTATAATTGAATAAATAAATGGCAAAAGAATTGAACAAAATTTTTTAAAAAATACATAAAACGAACCAACGGTAATGAGTTTAATTGAGATAAATGAACTATATGTGATATGTAATATGAACTATAAGTGACTATAAGTATATATTAAAAATAAATAATGAACAGGTAACTTAAAAGTGCCCAGACTAGTTCAGAAAAGTGCGCAGAAAACTCAGAATGATAAAAATGATCGCTCTTACGTGGCAACTGGTTCTTTGAATTTGGCACATTTTTGTATCTGAAACATTAAATCACCACCATTTATGAATTCCATAACAAAATACAGTCTATCCTGTAAAATAATAAAACATAGATTAGTTATAACAGGAAACGAAATAAACAAATCAATTAAATAAAAATGAAGGTCGTATACAACAATAAAAACACCTTTCTTTTCCTTGGCGGAATTTACTAAAGGATAATCATAATTTCTTATAGGTTCAATTATTAATTTATAAAAGTATTTATACATTATGCTTAACAACACTGAAAATGAAAAGACGTTTACTATGTTTTGCAATATAGAACCAAAAGCGAGTAACATTGATTTGAGCACAAATAGAAGATGGTATGGTCAGCTGTGAGCAGAGACAAATAATTTATACTAACATATATAAGGAGATTTTAGGATTAAAGTTTTCGATACGTTAAAAAAGATGTTATGGCAATCTACGAGTTTAAAATAATAATTTATAGCGATGCGTTTTTAAATTAGACATATTTTTCAGCATATATTGCATACTAGGCATATATTGAAAAATCAACAAACTAAACTTATGGAAGCATTCAAGATGCATAGTCACTGGAAACTGAGAGTAATTTATATTGACACGTCTATAAAATTGACGGATTTAATATTAATAAAACAACAAATAAGTTTTCCATTTGCTAAAGAAGGAGTTATTGTCATATGAAAGCTGTGAGCAGTAATTTATACTTACGCATAATTGAAATTGACGGATTAAACATCAATAAGAAAACAAACAAAAGTTTTCCACGTGATAAAGAAAGGTATTATCGTCATCTATAAGCTAAGAGGTTTAATATAAACTGACAAGCATTTAAAATTGGCGGATTAAACATTAGTAAGACAACAAACAAAAGTTTTAGAAGTTTTAAATAAGGTGTTTTAGTCATATGCAAGCAAAAAGCATTCAATTATACTGAAGCATATTTATAATTGATGGATTTAACATTAAGACAACAAACAAAAGCTTTCCATGCGTTAAAACAGGTGTTAAATTCATTGCAAGATGGGAGTATTATTTTTTCTGACGCGTATTTTAAATCAGCTGATTTTACATTAATAAGACAACAAATAAAATTTTTTCATGAATTAAAGAAAATGTTATAGTCATCTGCAAGCTGGTAACATTAGTATTTACTTATAATTATTTAAATAAGGTGTATTTAACATTAATATCACGATTTAAAAAAAAACTTTCCATGAGTTAAAATTTTTTTAAAACCATTTGCAAGCTGAGAACATTGGTGGTTACTTAAAATTGATTAAGGAGTATTTAACATTAATAACATAACGAAAAAAACTTTCGCTGCGTTAAAGAAGATGTTGAACTCATTTGCAATTTGAGAATATAATTTCTTACCGGCAAGTATATAAACAAGCCGCTTATAACATTGATAAGGCCACAACAAAATTGTTCAACGTGTTAAAGAAGATTTGACAGTTATTTGCAAGCTGAGAACATTAATTTATACTCCTACTTATTTAAATGAGATGTACTTATCATTGATAAGATGACAAAAAACTTTCGATGTGCTAAAGAAAATTTTATAGTTATTTGCATTTTGAGAACATAATTTCTTACTCGCACGTATATAAATAAGCAGCTTTTAACATTGATTAGGACGCAACAAAATTGTTCGACGTGTTAAAGAAGATGCGACAGTCACTTGCAAGCTAAGAACATTAATTTATACTCCTACTACTTACTTAAATAAGATGTACTTATCATCAAACTATCAATTATTAAATGAGATGTACTTATCAGCAAACAAAAATTTTGCATGTGCTACAGAAAATGTTATAGTCATCTGCCAGCTGAAAACATTAGTTTTTACTTTTAATTAATTAAATAAGGTGTAATTAACATTAATATCTCGAAAAAAAAACTTTAAATATGTTTAAGAAGATGTTATAGTCATTTGAAATTTGAGCACATAATTTCTTACTCTCACGTATATAAATAGGTCGCTTTTACATATTGATAAGCCCGGAACAAAATTGTTCGAAACGTTTAAGAAAAAATGTCAGTCACTTGCAAGCTGAGAACATTAACTTATACTCCTACTTATTTAAATAAGATGTACTTATCATTGATAACACAACAAACAAAACTTTTCAATGTGTTAAAGACGTTATAGTCATCTGCGAGCTGAAAATACGAATTTATAGTGATATGCATTTGAATAAGAAGGTTTAACAATGATTAGAATTTTGTAAACAACTTTTCAACACTTGAAAGCTGATTCTCCCAAACTAACCAACAAGTTACCTAACATACTCATCGATTGAATCGCTTAGACTCTTTATTTAAATTTGGATTGATTTTTTTTCTTATCAATTCGAATTAAATGTTGGGAATATCTTACTGTAGTTTGAAAACAGGAATGTAAATGCACAAGGAATGGAGGTTTATTTGATAACGCTAACACTCTCTTCTCGATCATAGCGCACTCTACGTCATCGTCTTGAATGATAACATCTTTTTTTAGAATTTTTATGGCGTATAATTCATCCGTTCCTTTTCTTTCCGCCAGCATAACCTGCAAATAAAAATAAAATTATCATTCACAAATGCAATCATGTTTAAGTCATAAAATTTTTTTAATGAGAGTAGGATAAAAGGCCGTATAGCGGCAGGATAAAAGGCCGTGTAGCGGAACTTACTTTTCCGAAGCTTCCTTTCCCTAATACCATTAGAAAATTAAAATCAGAGGACTTTATAACATCCTTGGAACTAACATTTTGAGGAATACTTTCGTTTTCGTAGGATGGCCGTTGACTGAGTGAGAGCCGACACTGCAGAAGAAAAAGATTGAAGTTAACTTAGATTCAAACCAAAAGAAATTAATTAAAAAACAACAACTAAATTTTACATTTATACAGAGCGTAAAATAAAAAACGGACCGACCTGAATAACTTTCGATCTAATGATCGGATTTTCATATTCTAGAGCTCAATCTTAATGGTTCAAGGGGGTTCTCTCAAAGATGTTGATTAATTAGTGCAGCTATAAAAGTGTGTTGCAAAAGTATGTGCAAAAACTATTAGTGCGGCTATATATTCAAGGTTTGGATGGTTGTTAACTTGCTGGCATAAACTATTTTAATTTAAAAAATTAAAGAAAGAAACAAAAGAAAATTGTTCTACGTCGTAAAATTTCGTAATCTGGGCTGCCAATTCTAAGCATCAAGAGAGGAATTTACTTTTTGGGAAGACTCAACATAGCTCAAAATGTTGCTTGATAACGAAAACGCGATGTGCTTTCGAGTAGCATGCTATTTTTAATAACTGTGAACCGCTAATTTTCCCCTCCCTAACATTATATCGTAAAAATGCCAAGCAATTGAAATACTGCTGAAATTTTGGGACACTTTTATTTTATTTATATTGACTTTTTAAACCCACTATTAAAGAAAAAACAAAACTAAGATGTTTGAAATATAATTAGTAAATTGTTATTTCTTGATGCTAGTTTTTTTATGATGCTGAAGGTTTTATTTTATTCAGGAAACAACTCCAAGTTTAATCTATTCAACGCAGAGCATATTCTTGGTTCAGCTGATAAGTCAACTTCAAGTGAGTGTAAATGTGGAAACATCAGACTCAACTTTAATTTTTCTTCATATTTTAATTAAATTATGTTTATTACATTTAATTTATCTAATAAAATCAATTATAAAGTAGGCATAGAAATAATATCTCGAATTAAATGAGTTTTAGGAGTTGAATCATTTATGTAAAATTATTTGCTAGTGTGAGAACAAGTTCGCTATTAACTTATATGGGCCTGTAACTAACTTTTATTTCATTGTATCAGCCGTGATAAACAGTCAAATTTGAATAAAAAAACAAATTTATATAATGCATTCAATTAAAAACATAAAACATGATCAAAAGAATAGTAATGAACATTTGACTCAAATAACAAATTTACGCTTCGTACAGTCATAAAATAAATTCATATCCATTTACTGTTATGCTCTGCGTTGCGCTACAATTTGGATCAAAATATAAATAATTATGAACAGTAGAAATCAAAACCATCCCAATAATATTTTGCTAGATTTGAACAATCTATCTAAGGATTGATGTATGACTAATGTTTAAATGATTACGGTGAAGAAAACTTTTCGCCAGTAGGTGAAGAAAAAGAAAAAAAAACACAAGAATGAAGTTAGACAAAAAACGCTTTGCTTTTCTATCCACCAAACATATTATCAAAAACGAGAAGTCAAACTGGAGAATTATAAAAACCCCTCTTGTTAAACAAACTCAACTATTACCATTGACAAAAACTTACAGAATATCTATAATGACATACTCGTAATTCTTATTGCAGTTAAGATACGATTATTTCAAATAGAAAAATGTCTTTTTACTTTAATGTGTAAACTTTAATCGTTTTATAAAACAAAAAATCTAAGAGATAATACCCGTTGAATAACAATTAAATTAAAAATTACTTAACATAACACGAAGCTCGAGGGCTTACTTAAAAATAAATTGTTATCTTTTGATCCATCGTTGAATTCGAAGAAAGAGACAACGTGTTTTGAGCACACGACGTTCTTCTTTGCAATAAAAAATGGAAGTAAAATTAAAAGAATAAAACAAATGTAAGAACGTAAGCCGAAACAGACTACGGTACTCAATTAGAGATAGATTTCCATGATTGTTTTCTATGATTGAGGCAGAACTAAGATCATTAGACGTCTCGAAGCATATCGACTTTTTTTCTTTATCTCAATTAGGGAGTTACAGAAAATTTTATTTTAAAATATATTTTTCATTTCAAATTTCTTTCACCTATGAGGTATTGACCTTTAAAGTATGGAGTAAGCGTATTTCGAAATTTGTTCAGATTTTGATCCTCTTTTAGTATAATAATAATAAAAGTGTTATGTTCTGTGTTATCCGAGTATTGTCTGGTAATCACGAGATGAGTCTTTAAGTATAATAATAATAATGTTATGCTCTGTGTTATACAAAAACAATCTGGTAATCACGAGATGAATCTTTACGTTCTGTGCGATATAAGTACTATTTGGTAATCACAAGACGAGTCTTTTATGATAATAATAATAACAACAAAGTATTATATTTTGTGTTATCCAAGTACTGTCTGGTAATCACGATATGAGTCTTTTAGTATAATATTAATAACAAAAATGTTGTATTCTATGTAATCCAAGCACTACCTACTAATCGCGAGATGAGTTTTTTTGACCCTTTGTTTACGGCTGGTGCAATAAGTGAATTAGAATGGCTTCATCAAGCTAAGGGCATTAAAGAAAAGGCTAATAATATTAAAAAAGTGTTACGTTCTATGTTATCCGTACTGTCTGGTAATCACATGATGGGTCTTTTTTAATAATAATAACAAAAGTGTTATTATCTGTGTTATCCAAATACTGTCTGGTTATCACAAGATGAGTCCCTATCCTCACAGAGAGCTTAACTCAGGAATTCTAGCTAGTAGCCTCAAAATGTCAATATCTTAAACTATCTGTTATTGCATTTGTTACATGCAATATTAAGAAGTCAAAGTGGTATGCAACACTACCTTCATTTTATTCTGAAGTTCAGCAATAGCTGCCCCTTCCGGAGGTACAGGAACATTGTAAAATTCTCCTTCTTCCGCGGTGAGTAGTTTGAACCAACCATCAACGGGATTTTTCATGATTTCAGATATTCCAAACGATAATGATCCCATAAAATCGTTACGAGATGTTCGATCCCAATCCCACACTTCAACTAGCAGTCTTCGATCTCTATCTTCTGCTTTCAGATCTCTGGGAATAACAACAAAAATAATAAATAAATTCTATCTAATTAAAACAGTATTTAGAACCAATATTACAACCGGCAATAAGAATGCAAGATTCTATTGAATTATAAATGCATGGAACAACATTTGGATAAGCAAATTTCATAACTAATGCGAGCGTCAATTGTTCTTGAGACAGATTGAAAAACGTTAAAAATAAAATTTGTATTGAAGTCCAAATTATAAATCGTCAATCCTACCAAACTATTGATCTGACATTTCTCGGCACTAAGTTTCAAATTAATAAAAAATGTTTTTTTTAGTTCGAGAAAAAGACGTTTCTGCGTTGTGTTTTAACTTAAAATAATTATTCACAAAATATGCAGTTTGAAAGCATGTCCCCCGAACTATTAAAATTACATCTTAAGGAACAAAAATACCATAGCGGACACTTCAAAGATAAGTTGGTACTCATCGATCTGAAGCTGGGTGGTCTTCAAGACACCATAGGGATCGAAGCCCAGTTCTTTACAATGACAGTTTAGAGCCTTAATCACTAGGCCATCGTAGCTCATTACATCTTAGTATGTTCAAATCGAATCACTAGATAAAAATTGATTCAGTCACTGAAAAAAATATAAAAAAACTTCTTAAGTATCAATAATGTAGAAACCAAAACTAGCAATTTTATCATTTAAGGAATAATATTTTACGATTTATTTTCTGTTCGCATGCCCTCACAAAGCGAATGTCTGTAAAACAATAGATTTGTTTGACCCTCGGTTGTCGAAATTAATAATGACAACGAAAAATTTTAAAACAGGTAAAAATTTTAATTTAAGTAACTTTTCGGACAGCTTTATGGCTCTTAAATATCTTAATACTTGAATCTTGTGGATTTTGTTACATGTACAAAATATGAAGAAATACGCTATAAAAACTTCCGACAATATGTAAAAAGTGCTAAATATTAAAAATTATCATTTTTAAGTTAAAATTGCAAATAGTAAAAAAAAATTAATTTAATTTATTTATTCTCGTTTAAAATTAATTTTTTTAATCACATTTATGAGTTGACTTTCTAGGCTACTACTTTCTGAATAAAAATTGCATTTTTTATCATTATCTGAAATTCGGGTCTTAGGAGGGTATGCTTTCTAATTGGTGGTTCCCAATTTCTCTCCGGCAACGGAACCCTAAGTGATCGAGTATATTTTTGCGGAACCCCAAATGAAATTTATTAGCAGTCAAACATATTTACCAAAGAAAGACAACTAATTATTTTGATAATATTTAATGTGAAGAAATGAATATTGCTTTTTAAAAAATTAATCGAACTTTCAATAAAACTCGTAAAATAATAGTTTTATGTCAAATAGTTGAATTCGCAAGCCTGAAGTGGTATCTAATCTAGGTCTGAATTTGTTTTGGAGGGTATACATCAGCTGAAAACGAATAAAATAAGCTGAATTATAGTTTTCTAGAAATAATTCCAATGAACGTGGAGAATAGTTATCAGAGAACGTAATTCATTATTCTTAAATTTTTTCATTTTATTTTAAATTGAGAATTTCAACGAGAAATATTGATTTTACAAATTTAGTCATCTCTTTTTTCTCTTTTTACTTAAATAATTTTATAAAAAATAACCGAGCTATCAACGAAATTGTAGTTTATTGTTTAGATATAAATATAATTCAAAAATCCTTACTGATTTAAGAAATTTAAACTCTCGAACTCCCTGGGCCCTCCCACGGAACCCCTGGCTACCGCGAAACACCATTTGGGAACCGCTGGTTTAAAGTGATGGTAGATGTATTCCATATAACATGGTATTCTTTTTATTGGACAATAATACCCCCAATTGAATCTTACGTAAAATAGAAAATGATAATACTTACAGTGACATCGTTTCCATCCATTGAGGATTTAAATTAGCTTTAATGGTTTTAGTTTTCTTTTTTTGAGAATTTCGTTCATCAGGTATGAGCTTCAGTTTCACGTAGGGATCCGAAAGACCGTTGGGATCCATTGGAATGAGATTTTTAGCCTGCCGAACTGAAAACATAAAAATGTTAATCAAACATCGTGCAAATTCCATAGCTATCTTAGTTTATTTCAGAAGTTTATTTTAAAATTAAAATGGAGCATTTTACACTGAGTGGACAAGCGGTACCCACCTCTGTGTTTTTATTTTTGAAGAAAAAAAATAGAACAATGAAACATGTGTTAGTTGACAACTTATGGTACATTGCTTTTTATATCAACTTAGAAATATCGAATTGAGAAAAAAAATCTGGTTAAATGACTACGCTTTATAGTAATAACATTTTTGGTGAAAAAAAAAACAACAACATAGTTTTTGTAAATAAAACCAAAATATACGTTATTTAAACTATTTATTTGGTATTACTTGATTAAAAACTTCATTCCCTTCAAAAATAAACAAAATGGAAATAACAGCTGACATGCTTCAAGTGCTCAAGAATAGGGAGCTCATTTTCAAGAGTTGCTAGGCGTGAATGCGAAGAGGCATAAGTAATTTGAAATATATAACATAAAGTTGTCAACTAAAATTGTATTTTACCCTGATTTGCGTCTTTCAGCCGCTGTGTTTTTTTTTTTTATTTTGTTTGTAATCTCTTTTCACTCACGGCTATTGTGGTATTCCTAGTTTTGTTTCTTACCTTTATTTCGCCATTTTTTGTTGGCAACTTTTCGCTTTATATTTCAAATGACTATTGTTTCTTCTCATTCACATCTGGCAAGTCTTGAAAATGGGCGACTATTTTTGAGCTCTTGAAACACGTAGACTATTTTTTTCCAATGCGTATATTTTTTTAAGCGAATAAAGTATTTAGCTAAGTAATATCTTACCGCTCCAGTTTCTTGAGATTATTTAACACTCATTGAGTAATTTTTCTGTTCATATTTTGGCCTACTGGAAATTATGGTTTTCAAAACTATAGCTCGTGTTACCTTATTAGTCTTATTAGTAAAAAATACAAAACTGAAAAGTAAATTTATCCAAATAAATGTTTTTTACGCCATGATATATGATCAAACGCCATGTTTTTTACGCCATGATATTATGCCATGATATATGATCAAATTACCACGTTTGTTAAATTCTATCACATGATATAAAACCATATCTTATTATTAATTTCGCCAAAATCATAAGAGCTTTGATAAAAATCATCGAGCTTCTTTGGTTTTTCCATAAAGCCTTAAATACGGTAAATTATACCATATTATGGTAGTTTTGATCATGCTTTTTATCCTCAGTGTATGAATTTAAAGATAAAGTCAACTTACAGAAAAGAATAAATTTTCCTTTTTAAAAAATAAAAAAAATAAAAAAATTGAAAACTTTCATTGTATTAGAAATCAAAATTCTTTATATTAGCAATCCAAATTCGTTATAATAGTAATCAAAATATGCTAGATAAATGTAGAAATTTAATTTTACATATTCGACTTCTTTGATTTCTTAGGAACTATTCAACTAATTTCGCACAAATTGTGCATTTTGCCGTATAAAATTAACTCGTACTTTAAAATGATGTAAAAAATTGTACACCTTACACTTAAAAAATTTTCGACCATTATTTAATAAAATAGTAAAAAAAATAAATATGTACTAAAATTTATTTCTTATAAGGAATTATTTTTGAATAAACGAATTTCATAATTGTGTGCAAAAAAATTTTCAGTTCGCTTAAAACGTTTTCGAGGTATAGCTAAATGCGCAAAAAGTAAAATTAACATTAATGGATCCAAATTTTGGATCACTCTCTTGACCAAACTATGAAGACCAAATTGCGGCTACCCCTTATATTTTGGGGAATCAAAAATTCAAATCCGTTAAAAAAAAAAGCTTTGTTTATTCAGAGAAAGTACGTTTTTGTGTCTGATTTTGTAACTTAAGATATTGTCTGCACTAATTAATTAGCTCATTTGACGTCACGCCCTCGAACCATTAAGAATGAGCCCTTGAACGTAGATCAGATCATTAGGACAAAAGTTATTAATTTTTTATACCAAATTTTAATGAGATTAAAAGAACAAAAAAGAAGTCTAAATGACCTAAGTGTTTAGACTATAACGATACTCTTTTCTATGTAGCATTAAATATTAGCATATTTCCTAACTAATGTTAATATAAGTAAGTTAGATTTAAAAGTAAATATCGTAGTTTTTTATTATAAAAAGTATGCATTGAAATTTATAATAAAAACTATGCATTGAAATTTACTAATAATTTTTGTAGGACATAAATTTATTTGGACATGAACACATATTTTTCATTTCTTTGATCACATAATGCTGATTATATTTTCTAATTGATGGCTTGATAAATATTATTTAGTACTAAACAATATTTTTTTCCACAAATATTTCAATATATTTCTAATAATAAGATATAATAACTCACATATTTTTCTTCAAACCATATGTTAATTTCAAGACGTTTTTAAACACAGTCCCCTCTTAATCAAGATAAAAGAAACTTTTTGCTGGAGCTTTTACATCCAAAAATTAAATATCAAATATTTAAAACTGAAAACGATTTTGAAAATATTAATTTTATAAAATCGTCTTTTAAAGAAATTGTATTAAGATCTTTTTCAAATTTTTAAAATATCGTTTTTGAATATATTTAAAAACGATGTGTCGGTTAAATGAGTTTGCTTATTAGGAGTTGATTTTAATATATTTATTTTCTTCTTCGTGCAAAAAGAAAAAGAAAAGGTTTATATTCTTATGATTATCCATTCGAAGATAACCCTAAGTTTTGAACACCAGCAGCTATTTACTTTATATCATTCTCTATGTATTTCAACAACAGTTAACTATTAAATCAGCTTTGAGTTTCGAAATGAAATGATGATTTACAGATTCAGAACATTGCAATTGCTATGAAATATCAAGCACTGTAAAATTCAAATTTTGTAGTTGAGAAATAAAATGGCGTCTCTTGGACACAAATATAATATATAACGCAGATCAAAAAGAAGCATCATAAAAATTTGCGAGGGAGCTTGTAGATACAACATGATAAATCGCAACAGATAAATTTATAGAGCTTGGCGAAAAGACTCGTACAATAACCGTGTTTTACGATTTCTGTAGATAGTCAAAACGAAGAGAAAGGTCAAGGCGTAATAGGAATCTATCATAAAATATATTTTGGTATAAAGGGATAAAAGAATATCTTTTTCGAATTCTTTGGGAACTTGAGTTTACTTAGTTACATTTTTTAGGAGTCAAGAATGTTCCTTATGTGTATAATCAATAATAATCATCTACCTTATTTTGACGCACAACTATAATATAAAAGAAATAAGAGAGCTAAGTTATGTTTCTTGTTAAGAGCGATAACAGCAACACCTTAAAGAAAATATATGTGTGATTTTTTTCATGCATTTCTTCATATTTTTTCAAGCATTAGTGCATGCTTTTTCATGCTGCGTCAGAGTTTTCCTAAATAATTTAATGCATTAGGTTTTTCAAACATTGTAATTTTTCTATACCTTGATATACTCTTTATACACATATATTTTCATGCACTACTATAAGGTTCGTCATATTTTTTAATGTGTTTTTATGCATTTCTTTATATGTTATGATGCATTATGACTTCGTTTTTCATGCTTTGTTTAGAGATCTAAAGGCTTTCTTTCATAATTTTTGTATTTCTTAATATAATATACAAAACAGTTCCAAAAAAAATTTAAAAGTCAAATGATATAAGTAAACTAACTTATACATCATTTTAAATAACTATAATACGTCACTATAAAGTTTTACAGCAAAGCATAAGTTTTAAAGCAAAATGTGTTAGAGAATGTGTTGATAGAAAATTTTAGAGCAACATATTAAAGTTTCTTACGTCTAGTTTTCCACGAATTTCTTCATATCTTTTTCAATCATTAATGCATGGTTTTCAATGCATTTTTAGGATTTTCATGAACTGGTTGATGATATAATACGTGTTATTTCAGACCCTTTTTTTAAAATTCTTCATGTGCTTCATAGATTTTCAAGTTCTTTTACATGATCTTTCACGCTTTTTAAGGCTTTCGTTAATTTCCTTAAATATTTCAATGCATTACTATACTTTGTTTCCATCAATGTTTAGGGTTTCCAAATTGTAGGCTCAATAACTATGTGTGAACTGTTAGAAATTACTCAAGGAAAATGCTTAAATAACAATCCATTTAATTGTTATTTAAACCCTCTTTATACAAAACGGTTAAATACCCATAAATAAGATAGTATTCAAACTATTAACTGTGAGAAAAACCGTTTATTAACAGCTGTCACTCAATACGGTTAAACAACCAGAGTTTTATGGCACCAATTAGACCCGAGAAAGCTAAACGGTCAGTCTCATAACCAACAGAACAGGGGTTCGAGCCCCAGCGTTGGCAATGCAATAGTTCCCCCATTCCCTTCTACGCATAAAGAGTTTTCAGAGTTTACCCTAAGTTGTGACCCTGAACCAGTTGTCGGCAGTAGTTTCACTTGTGGCGTTGCGGTCTGAAATGCAAAGTCCGAACTGCGAATATCTGACGTTGGACTACGTCGCACGCAGCCGATAATTGACGTAAACCTCAAGCCTGAATGGAGATATGCGTGAAGGGCGAAATCAGCAAAACGCGCACAATATGTTTTGGATATAACTTGGCCGCCTCCCCACAGATTGCTCTCTCTCCCCGTCGGTTCTAGCTAGCAGTCCGGCATGTTCTCGCCGGTTACCTTTTCGCAGTTTTTTTCTATGCTACTTCAATGTTAAAGTGGTTAAGTTTTATATATGTTAGAATGTTTTAGTTAAATTTACAAGTTTCCTAAATGTTAGTAAAGATAGTTATTTATTTAAACTTAGTGTTATTTATGAAGAAACCTATAATCCGTTCTCGGAAACATTTTAATGTGGAAGGCTTTTCTAGAGTTAAATTTCTTTTTAGAGTTTAAGTGGGGACTCTAACAAAGATACCAAACAACCC